GGTTTCTCAATTTTGGTTGAGTGTCTAGAATGTGACTGATTTTTTCTTTTTCCTTTAGAATGATCCGAATCAGTTGTGATCAATTTAAGTAATTCTTGTCATTGAACTGATACACAATTTGAATTGGTTGGAATTTTTTTATAGTTCGTACAAAATTTTTTATATGAGAATTTGTGTCAGTAATTTGATATGTAACATCTAACGTAATTTAAAATTTTAGAACAATTAAAGTCAATTTAAATGATAAAAAAATAGAGATTACCAAACAGCAAAGTTCCAAACACAAGTCTGGACAGAGGTGCCGCTCGAGGCAACTGGGATGGACTGGTGCAGTTGGTACAGTTGGTTGTGTAGGATACGTGGTTGGCTGTGTGGAGGGTGCTGGTCGCACTATTTTTCTTGCTTGAAGAAGCTGGTTGCACGGCTGTTTCTGGTAGGAGGCGGCGGGTCTCTCAGCTGCTTGATTGTTGGTACACAGCTGCTATGGTGGTTGGCTTGAGATTGTCCGACTTTAAAGGCTGGTGGCCATGGTGCTTGCTATGGTGGCTGGCTAAAAAGTTGACCTTCTTTAAGGTTTTCTTATTTCGATAATGAAAGTCGAGTAGGATTGGTGAAAATGTTTATGATTTTTTAACCTAAAGTTCTGATGCCATGTCAGAAATAATTGTATTGTATTTCTCATTCAATAATACGGCTCTATGTATACAAATTCTAAGAATAAGAAAAGGAAAAGTACAATTCATTATAGAGACTTTATTTTAATTTTAACACCATTTAATCTAGTTTAGCTAATTACACATAAATTAAATTCTTGAATATGTATTTTTAAGTTTTTCAAGATATTAAGTCGTGTCCTAAGATGTAAAATTTCTGCCTTGAAATCACTGAGGTCTATAGGCTTTTCTTCTCCCTGTGGATGGTCATATGTGGCTGTCTGTTATTCTTCTTGTATCTCCAATCTTTGCAAGAGGTATTCGGTTTTCCATGAAGTTTCTAACATTTCTCTTTAGGGTGTGAGTTTCTTGTAGAAGGTATACCTATTTTCTTTACTAGTAGCTGCGATATTATTATGACTTGGCTTCTTCCCCTATTAGCATGGTTTGGAGTCTTCAGTCGCCGTTGTGGAGTTTTTCGATAATGGGGAGTTCTAGCATTACTCTTCTTCTGCTTTTTCCTACACTAACAAGAGATATTACCTCTTTCAGAGATGATGTCTCTTCTTTTCTCAGGATCTGAATTCTCACTTGATCATGTTCTCATTAAGTTCTGACATGAATTAATAATGCCCCTATCTTTTTCAACCATTCTTTTCAAAGTTGCTGCATCGTTGTTGATTGAGCTTTTACATATATCTGGATTGCATGTTTTACCTTGGACTAAGTTTATCTGATCGAATCCTAAACCTCTTGCACAGTAAGTAGGAACCATAACACTCATCTTTGGTACCATTTAATTGTGGAGTCAAGCCTGTATCATTGAATTCTCTTCATCTCGTGAATCAAAATTTGGGCTCCTGGTTTTGGTTCGACGCCCATAGTATGACTCATTTTCCCTTTTCCCTTTAGGATGGCTTGAATCAGCTGTGGCCAATTTAAATAGTTCTTATTATTGAAAAGGCAGAGAATTTAGATTTGTTCAAATTCGTCAGTAGGTTTGTGCTGAATTTCAAATATAATGACTTTTACTAGTAATATAATATTTTAGGGCAATTAAGGCCAATCGGATAAGTAAAAGGAAGCATATTACTAGTTGGACAGTGTCTGAAGCGGCTGGTTGTCAGAGGCTGTCCAGAAGACAGGCGTGGCTAGAGGTAGGCACAGCTGATTGTGTGCGCAGAAAAGAGCAGCAGCAGCACACAGGTGGCTGTTGTTTGCGGCTGAACAGGGAAGGGCAGCTGCGGAGCACAGGGTTGCTTGTGGCTGGGCTGGAGGCTGGAGGCTGGAACAGCTGCGCTCATGTTGAGAACGGGGTGCAAACACCCAAAAAATGAGCAAGGAAGCAGAAAACCGCATCGGTTGCACAGAGAATACCGTGAAACTGGCTGCAGAAAATTAAAAAGAAAAAAAAAACAGGGAGTAGAAAAAGGAAGATGTAACTGCCCTCAGGAACCAAAACGTTTTAAGGGACAGGCCGTGTGTTTTTCCAACCGGAAGTCATTAATGACACGTGGCAGTATCTGGGATGATCTGGGTGGACACGTGTTACAATCTTGCAGGGGGTACTTAAATCCCCCACAATCGGGTTCAGCTAAGCCGCCTTTCAGTTGAACTGATATGAACTACTTCTTCCTCCTCTGCACTGGGATGACCTTTCCTCTTCCTTTTCTTCAGTCAATGCGACCAATGGGAAAAGGATCCTCCGAACGGCAGCTTCCAGTTAATGGTAATGATTGACTCATGTAAACTTTATGTATTTAAATGGTGGATTGCAAACAAAAGCAGTCATGTAATTGTTTGGAATAAGATCGGATTTCTTCATTTTCTCTCTCTAAACTTTCGTTCTCTCTCTCTCGCTCTTATTGGCTATCCTCTCCCTCGGCTGCTTCTCTATCTATCTCTCTATTTGTTTCTCTATCTCTCATCTCTCCCTCAAATCTATCTTCTCTCTCTTTCTCTTTCTATCTCTCATCTCACTCTTCCCGATCCGTCCTCTCTCTATTTGATCTCTCCTCTCTATATTTTTCTATTTCTTTTCTCTCCCTCAATTTTTCTTTATTTCCTGATTCATACTCATATTTCCGGATTCTCTAATTTTCTTACTTTCAAAATTACCCTTCTTTCCATCAATTTTACCATAATTATTAATAACTTAATTTCTTTTACCAACTCAAGGTTCCTGTGAAATACATGTCAAGATCGGGTCATAAAAGTTCAATGCTGTGTGCGGATGAACTGGAACAGATTCTGTCCATGCGGTTGGGCGGCTGGAGTTGGCAATTAAAGCCAGTCTTAGTGGTGGATGGCATCTGTGGTGGCCGGCAGCTGGGGCTATAGTGGCCCGCAATGAAGGCTGGACCTCTTAGTGTTCTTTTCTTATTTTGGCAATAAAGACCAAGTAGAGTTTGTAAAAGAGAATTAGGGTTTTTGTCCACTTTTAATTTCAAAACAAAAAAAAGAGAGTTAGGGTTTTTTTTTCCTAGAACTCTAATATCATGTGAAAGAATAAATGTGTATTTTATTAATATATAGAGTTTCATATGAATAATAAAAAAAATACAATTATTATAAAGTGAGGGGTATATTACTAATATACAATTTTTATCCTACTTAATATATACTTCCTAATATAGGGGATATTATTGGCGGAAATAGTGTTCCAGAACAAATTTCAAGATCATCACAGGTCATTTCATGGCATCTTACTTTGCCTTTATGTTGTGAAAGTAAATCTTCTGCAAATACTTCTAGCTAATTAGAGCTTTTGTTGGCAATACAGATGCTGCTTCTTTGTCCACATCACTTTTGGTTTTGATTAGTTTTTTTTTTTTTTTTTTTTCTTTTTTGGGTAGAAAATGCGGAAGATATTAAGATTGTCCAATTAAGGGCTTAAACAGCAAGTCCTAGCCAGTTAAAGCTACAAAAATCATGTTCCAAAGTGCTAAGAACCCCATCCGTTGTTTTTCACAAAATTTTGTCCTCATTGTGCACTAGGTTTTTTGCCACCGATCAACTTCTGTAGTTTGTTGCCCGTTATTTGCTTTGCACCTTCTCTGATTAAGTTTACCTGTTGAAGTTATAATCTCCCTTGCAGGTGAAAGTACTTGGTAGAATCTAAATTGTAAAGTTGGAGAGTTTCCTTTCGGTTCAAGATTTGGATAATGTTAATTCAGTAAGTTCCTAACAGTTCTAAATATGCTTCAGATATTCTGGGGTGTGTTGATTTTTGGAACTGTACTTGCTACAGTAGGAATCACTGGTAGGAACAGTGCTCGTGTTAGTAGAGAACAATAGTGTCAAAGAATTAATTTCAAGAGAAATGCAGGTCTTCATGGCATCTAGCTTTCACTTTATGTTGTGAATTTCTAAATCTCCTTGAATTACCTTTTAGCTAATGGGAGTTTCTGTTGGCAATGTAGATACTGGTGTTAATATCTCTGTTCAGGTTAATGTTAATTATAGTTTTCTTTTTTCATAGAATTTTTAAAGAGATTAAGATTGTTTTATTTGAGAGCCTTACCAAGTCCTAGCCAGTCAAAGCTACAAGAATCAGATTGAAAAATGCTAAGAACTTCAGGAGGCTTTTGCAGTAAAGATGTTGCAGGCAGAAAGGAAGACTACTTGATTAATGGACATGACCATTCCATCAAGTCTTCTTAATCATATAGAGTGAAACTACTGAATGGACAAAAGAGCTGGCCGTAGATCCTGTCAGACCTTCATTTTCCTGTATCTATCCAGTTTTTCTTTTTTCTTTTTTTTTTTGGGGGGGTGGGGGGGGGGGGGAGGAGAGAGAAGTATTAATGATATATAAGGAGACAGGAGCACCTGGTTTTGGAAATAATGAATATGTAAATGTGGTCTGGACATATGCAGTCGGAAGTTGAGATTTTTGCTTTCTTTACTGATTTTAGAGTTTTAAGATCATAGTGCAGTCAGTCTCTCTTTTGCTCTTTCTGCGGATGTCCTAGAGAATAGAAGTCAAGCTTGAATCTGGAATTATTTTTCTCTTTTAAGAATAAACTCCAGCATTATTTCTTAAGCTTTTATTTCCTTTTCTTTGTTCTTTTCTACGTTGTTCTCTCTATGCCCGCCCTATTTCTGAATCTTCACCTAAACGTTTCTCTGTTCTTCAGGTTCAACCTTGAATCTTTCTGTTCTATCCTATTGAAGATAGATTGTTCCATGATAAAACCTCACACCATTTGTTATGGGTAAATTCATGAAATATGGTCAATATTTTCATTAGTAACAATCATTTAATGCCACTTCTACTTTTTAGGTTTCTTGTTTATGCCACCGATCGCTTGTGCTAATTGCAATTAAGTGGGTGCTAGTTGGATATTTGAGTACAAAAAGCTAGAGATCATCATTACTACTTATAAAAGCAAGCTGGAAGCATTGTCTGGTAGAGCATAACCAAGTAACTCTCTTTGATAATAACTGAAATTTTTTCACTGTTGATTAGGAATGAACCCTCTTATGCAAGATACTGACTTATGTTGGACAGGGAGTGTTATCCACCACTTGACAAACGTTGACTCCTCTAGCAACAGATCTTTACTTATCAATCCACTATCAATCCATTTCTTTAGCTCGCTTTCTAGGAAGTAAAGCCTCTCTCTAATAGCTTCAAATGATTCTAATTTATAAATTCTACTAAGCTCCTCAATCTCTGCCCAGAAACAGGATTCCCGACAGGAACCAGCCTTCATCCCTTGCGCATGCTCCAGCCATCGCTGAGTGTATCTGTACCGCTTTGGTCTTGCATTCATCATGTACGGGCCTGTGTCTTCATTCTTCAAATGCCGATAATAATTTGCAATATCCAAAGGCTCAACTAGTCTGCGATACAAGGTTCCTAACTCAATCCAATGTTTTTGCCCCTCAAATCCATCAGGGAGTTCATACTTTTTCAACATTTCAATGGTCTCATCCCAAATTCCTGTTAGTTTGAGTCTCCCAATATTTGCTTTGAAGTCATCTGTACTGTTTTGCATCTTGAAGGCATCATAATAACCAATTTTGCGTACCTCACACATGGTTCTGTACTTCTCAAGATCGGCTAGTTCTTTTTTAGTATCTTCTATGGTATCAGCTCTTTTCTTCTGGTTTTCCAGTTTTTGTTTCTCTGCCACTCCAGCAGCACGAAGACAGAGTCTGGCTCTTGTGCTCTGAAAATTTTTAAGATTCAGGTTATGATTTTCAAATTTTTCGGAGCCAAGAGTTTTGATCAAGACAAACATGATATAATAGCTTTAGGCAGTAACAAACTGACAATCAAACGTACCTGGTTGAGGTCATTCAAGACCATGTTAGTCGCCATGGTCTCTGGGTTTGTTCCATCGGATGACAATGGAAGCATATCGAGATTATCTAAATAGCTCACTACCCAGTTTCCTTGAAGCTCAGTTTGATAAATCTGGTGGTCTTTGAGGCTTCTATGGGCAACCTCCAGACCTTCTGTGTCAGAAATAAACTGAGAAGAATAAAATAGGAGTTGCAGAATGGCATCTGGGTTCTTCATGCCTACCAGCTTCCCATTTCCAGTACAGAAGATATATGTCCCAAAAGGTCTGTAAGGGCTTAACATAATGAAGCTTGACAAGGTTTCTAGCAATGGGTTTGTGTTTCCCATTAGTTGACAAGCAGCATGGCTTGCAACTGAAGAGGCATTTTTCATCACAGTGAAGTAGAAAGCTGAAGCTTCCTGTAGAGCTCCCTGCAACAAAAGTGAGGATCTCGGGTTTAAGAGATGAAGGATCTGTTGCATTAGTGGCATTATGGAAGTACGAGGAGCAAGCATAACACGAGGGATAATATCATATTTCATGACAAAGTGAATGAAGTGTCTTGTCCAGTTTTCTCGGCCAAGAGCATGGTTGAATATCCGATCACCGACAAGAGGAGATCCAAAGGTTACACAGAGAGGAGACAACTTGGTGATGTCTGGTTTTTGGTATGTCTCCAAGAACTGGACTGTCATTAGAATTGCAATAGCACCTCCTGAGGAGTGCCCTGTAAACACTACCTGCTTCCTTTCCTTCACAGCCTTATCCACCTGTATATATATATAAAGCAAATGGGTATATCTCAATTTGACTTTACATGTTGACCCAAAAGGATTAAAATTTCTTCAGGAACAACAAATGGGTAGGGACATCACAATTGTTACCTCGTTTTGCAGAGAACGATTTGCGAAAGTTAATTGGAATCTTGCCAAGAAGGCTTCATTAACAATTGAATCTTCATCTTTACCGATGCTTCTCAGAGACGGAAATTGAGTTCGATCTATGGTGGTTTCACCAAAAGGTTTATGAGTAAACCATTCATTTGCAGACCAAGATCCTGGAAAGGCAAAAACAATATCTGATGAATTTCGAGTCTTTTCAGAAAGATATTGCTTATCTGGATTTCTGTGGGCTTTCATTGCCATTGAACATGCTTTCTTGATCAGCTCCTCTCTCACCCGGATATCCTCTTCAACCCATGTACCTGCCATTTCTCTTTCTTTTGCAGCAGCAGCAGGTCAGGTGCTTACCCTACTCCTTATTCTTCTTCTTCTTCTTCTTCTTCTTTTAAGCTTTTGGGAAGGAAGAGATGAAATCTTAATTTCCTGGAAAATACACTTCCAATTGACATCGACTTTTCTGGACCCATGAGCTTTTTTGGTATTTAGCTGACTAACAACGTTGACTTCAATTTCTCCTTGACTTGGCTTAGAAAATTATTGCTTCTCTACATATAGTTTATGATTTCTGTTCATTTTTCCCTTTTAACGGGGTAACTGGTTTTCTTTCACTTTTCTCCATGTTAATGGGCATATACAGTACATTACATAAAAGAAGAACATACAAAGAATGTAATGATTATTATATAAGTATTTATTAGAATTAAATTTTAATTGTGATTACGGAATAAGTTGTAGTTTGATTAATGAGTGAGGGTTATGAATTAAGTTTAGAGTTGTACGTGTAATCACTTTTTTTTACTTTTTAAAATGTGGGATATAAAGGAACATTTATGATTATGATATAACTTCATTTTTAATGTCTTTTTGTTCCATTTATATTGAATTATTTTTTGTCCTTTTGAAAAATAATCAAATTAATTACTATTAACATCATCACTAATATATGATGTCACGTGTCATTATTTTTGGCACATATTTTTTAGTCTGATTAATTTTTTATATCAAACTTCACATGAAAAAGATATATTGATCTATATTAGTTTAGTTGATATATGATATATGATATAATATTTAATGTGAAAAAATAATTATTTAATAAATATTACGTTTTAAAATTAATAATTATATATGATATTAAGTTTTAACCGTAACTAATTGATTTATTTAAATATTTTTTGAAAATATAAGTAATTTAACATAAAGGTTATGTAAAACTTAAATTGAACAGAAATAAAATAAAAATAAAAAAAAATTTAGCCTCTATATATTTTTAAAAGTTTATAATAATAATTTATAGCTTATTAAAATTTTATTATGTTTGGATTGGGAAAAGGAGAAAGAAGGAAAAGAAAATAAAAGAATTTTCATTTTTGGAGTAAAAAAAAATAATCGATATTTACTGAATGTTATAACTTTCATTAATATTAATAATCAATAAAAATATAATAAATCAACTACTTCAGCAAGTAAAATCTTTCCAAACAAGGTCAAAGATGAAGTTTGACAAGGTACAACCTTCAACAGCCGCAAAATTCTGGTTCTGGAGTTGTACCTTCTGTAAACGCTGACTCTGGGCGGAGGTCCTCACCCTTCTCCGTTGCAATGTTTCACTCCATCTCGGTGAAACGCATATTATCATCTTTTTACGATCATTAACCGATTGGGTTAAGCTTATTTTCTTTCTGCCTTGAAATAATTTGGATTCTGCATTTCCGTTTGGATGCTGAGAAAATAAGTTGGAAACAGAAAATGGACTCTGGTAGTTCTTGGAGACGAAATAGAGTAATAAACACGATTTTCTAAGAGAGACGTTTCTGCTGTTAAATTTGTAAACGTATTTTTTCATCCTGATTTGAAGCATTGCTACATGCTGAAGATGCAATATTGCATCTTGGAGTTACTTGCTTAAATTGTTTCAAGACCATTATACAGTTGAAACAATTTGCATGTTGTTGTTGTTGTTTAGAACATTCTTATATGTATTAAGATTTTACTGAACATGAATACTTGTGATGGAAAATAATGGTAAAATCATTGTTTCTTACTTATTTGAGGAAAAGATAATCTTTCCATGATACTGTTAGAAATCTTTGAGTCTGTTTTGCTATTTTTTACCTGAGTCATGCAAGCTAAAACCTATTTTTGTTGCTGCAGAGAAAGTTTGGAACGTGGGAAACTTCTGTCCAGGCCTAATAACTAAGGCGTCAATTTGTGTGACTGTAAGTTTTCAACTCTAACAACATTTACACCTAGTTTATGGGGCTGAGTGTTCCTTATGTGGATAGAGAGTTATTCTGATGTAGCACAATGGGATAGGGTTTAGATAGGTTAGAAAAATCAAAGAAAAGAAAAAGATAAATTCAATCCACAATCACAGGGATTAGCAATAATCACAGTAATAAGATTCTTAGGCTCTCAATTCAATGAAAGAAAAGCAATAGTTTTATTCATAGGCTGTCTATTTAACAATGATAAACCACCTTTTCATATTGTAAGGTGCCTACATAGTCTAATATAACTAGAATCTTTAAATAGGAAACTCACACTAATGAAAGCAATATAGTTAATAATTCCTAAACAAGCTAAATTGCTTAATAATACATGAACAATATAGTTACATAATTATTCTTATTGAAATATGTCCACCTTAGTATCTCCTTGTTCTGCATCACAAAACATTGGGTGGCCATGAAATCAATGTTGGCAATTCTACTACCTTGTATACTAATTCCATTTGATCTCAACTGAAAAGGGAATGAAATTCTGAAATTGGATCTGGCTTTTGTAGTCGCTTTTCTTTTGACCAAAGTAAGTTCCCTCCCCAAGTATTCCTGATTTGAGGATGTTAAAATTTCTGACAACCTCCTTAGAAATCATCTTCTGATTCAGGTGAAGATGTTGGCCTAGATAGGTTGGAATGCAAGTTTGGGAAGTTCACTGGAGCTTTAGTTTGCTGTAATGGCAAAGATGGTGATGCTATACCCGTCTTAGCATTCCTCCTCTCCAGCTTCTTAATGATGTCTGCACGAACTCGATCTACCATGTCAAGAAAATCCTTCACAATAACAAATAGTTGAAATGGATGTGCTCCTATGTCTTTGGAAGCTCCTGATTGGTAGTATTTGGTTGTTCTTTTCACAAGATCCATGATTCTTATTTGTTCCTTTCTCAGCACATTAAGCTCCTCTTTGCAGTCCTCCAAGAAAGCTTTCATTTTCTTCACGAACCCAGCTATCTCAATGTTGCTACAGCATGATACAAGTCGCTCAACTTCTGAAAATCTGGTTGAAAGCAAGGAGCACATATTAATGAAGCTGTTGTAGTCTATGGTGGCAGCTTTCTTTAAGTTGGAGAATTCGATGTTTAAGGCTGCAATTGCTGGTAAACCTAGCATCAAGTATTCTCTCTCCTTCTCTTCATCAGTCAAGTTGGTTGAATTTATGTCAATATATTTGCTTTTCTTACTAGTATTTCTGCCAAGGCTATTGTTCCGATTGATCACACGTCGCCCCTCTGATCTAACTACTTGTTCCACAACAAAGTGGAGTAGAGTAGTCTTCCCATCAATACTCTTAACATCAGAAAGCTTTTGAAGAGTACTAAGATCGAAACCTTGTGCATTGCCTCTGGAAGTTCCAGCATTCATCTTGTTTCCAGCCTTGAGAATGGCTTCAAGAAGTTTTAGGAAGAGTCCACGGGTCCTTAGCTCCTTGCACCCTAATTCAAGTATTTGCAAGGACTCCTTAAGCTGAAGTACTTCAGAGTCATAATTTGATCTAAAGAGCATTGCATTGATGCAAATAAATGCAGAAGGAACGGCTTTCAAGATATGGAAGAGGAAAGATTCTGCATCAGCAAGCTCAGTTAGATTTCCATTGAATTGGAGGATTTTGGCTTCTTCATCTGGGGTTGGAGCAATTCTGATTAGTTTTTCAAGAGTGTCAGCACTTAGTCCCTGACCCTCAAAAAGAGCATCAATGATTTCTTTTCTGGATACTACTAGGGATCTCAGTATAATTGCTGTATTTTGCGATTTTTGGGGCTCGAGGATGAAAACTTGCGTTCTTGGGACTAGATTGTGAGTGCTTGAACTTGATGACTGAGTATGATCACGCCACTTGTTGTTATTGGTGAACCCGAATAGAGCCTCTATCATCTCATCATCAAATCTGCAGACCAAATAACAGTAAGTGGCAAGAAAAAGATATATATGGACATGAATTTATTTATGCTACTCATGCAAGCTAAGGAACAAATGTGGGTGTGAGCATCAGAAACATTTATGCTCAATTACCGGAGAGATCCATCGTTGATATCATTCCAAACCATTGAATGTTCAGCTGTAGCTATGACTTTGTCCCAGTGAAGCAGCTTCAGTTTCATTTGACCAACTCCAGTCCCTTCTAACTTCTCTGAAGTTGGTGCAGGTGGAGGTTTCGTTGATGAAAATGAAGTCATTGTGTTAGGACGGAGATGTGGTGCAGCATTTTTTTTCCCTGTCGTTGGCAGTGGCGGTAGTGGTGGTGGTGGAGGAGGTGGCATTGGCAGTGGTGCAACATTTTTTGCTGGGACTGTTGGTTGAAATGTTTCTGAAGCCAGTAATGGTGCAGGACCAATCACAGTGCATAAATCAGGAGGCCGCTGAGCCTCGCTGCATTCATATTTTTTCGCACTCTCTGATATGGCATCGACTCTCTTTTCTTCTGCATGGTCTTCTTCATAACTAGGATTAAACATAACCTGAAAAATAGTATTTTCACCATCGTCAACTCTCCTCATATAAACAACATCCTTCCCATTTTCATCAACAATCAGTCCTTTAACATTTCTGCCAAACTTTCCAAATTCTTCACGAATAACTCCGGTTTCTTCCTTGCAGAAACTTGGATCAACTTTATTTTTCTGGCAGCATTTTGCAAACTTTTTGAACAGCAAGAAGAAAATCCCAACCACAACCAAAGTAGCTGCAGCTGCGGCAGCAACAGCCTTTACAACAGTTTGATTACTTGACATGTTAAGGATTTGAATAAGAAACTTACAAGTATCTCAACCCACCTTTGATGTTACAGAGAAGAATTTGATGGAAGATATCTTTTGACATTTGTGGCATTGTTGAGTAGAAACAGAGAAAGGAACAGAAGAGAAAGAGAAAGAAAGAAAATTTGAAGATCAGAGTGATTAAAAAGCTGGCAGGCAAGAAGGGTATTGTTTGATTTTATTGTGATTTAAGTATATATAATATAATCACCGTTGTATTGATGATGTTTGATGGAAGCTTCAATGAAGTTAGTTCTTGCTGGTAAATCTATTTATTCTTTTGCGGGCCATTTATTTCAGTATGACCAAAATACCTTCATCTCAAAACAGCAATTACCTATATAATATATATATATATATATATGTTAAATTACTATGTATCCCATCTATTCTTTTTTTTTTTTTTTCTTTTCTCAATTCTCAATGCTGATTTTTGGAATTCATTCATGACAGCTGAACTACAGTTGTTGATAGTCTTGTGGCTGCATCTTCAACTTGGTAAAAACATTGATGTGAGAATACAATGTTTTTATACGTTGTACGCAAAGTCTTTGGTATTATAATCAATAGAAATATAGAAGCTTGTACACATACCAAAGTCCAGCCCCCATCTGTTATCTGCAATATGGCAACTTGGTGTTAGCATACTTAAAATTGTAGTATATATTTATGGTATAAGAATTCAAAAGCATAAATAGTAGTATTACAGAAAAATAATAATAATAATAATTGTAGTATACATATATAGTATAAGAATTCAAAATCACAAATAGCCCACCACAAGCTTGGTCCTTGGCTTAAAAATATTATTTTCGAAATTTTAAGTCACAAATACATAACACACTTGATACAGAACGTAGGAGTATTATAATTTCTGGTCTTGATGGTTCAAGAAAATATGTATCACACTCTCTCTCATAGTACAGCCAATGTTATGTGGGATCTTATATTTGCAATTTAACTTCTGGGAGGAAAAAAATGAAGTAACCAGTAAAATTAATATATTTATTGATAATAATATGATAGGATATACACCAATACATATCCATTATCAAAATCATTCTTCATAATTCATGAAGAGGTGTGTAATTGAAGTTGTAGTGAATTAAGACATAATCCAAAAAGAGGGGGACCAAGAAGATACAAATTTGATCGCAGAAAAGCAAAAAACATATATTAACTTCTTAAAAGTCTGAGATTTGGTATCTTATTCACTGTTCACTTTGTTAATTTATGGTTTAAATTGATTAGAAATTCAGAATTAAGTGAATCAACCTAATTTTCTGGGTTTTTTCTATAGAATTTATTAAAGCAATTAACTCTTTTGTTTGGTTTAGATCATTTAAAAAAAAAAAAAAAACTAGGGGAATGGTAAATCTTGGATGACAATAATGGGAATGGGCAAATTACTAACAATAATTTTTTTAAAATAAAAAAACACCAGAAACCTGTATGAATCAATTAATTCCGTCATATTTTTATTTATATGGCAATGGTGGGGAATAATCTTAAGACCATCAAGGTATTCTATGGTCTTCATTTTTTTTTTTTTTTTTCAATGGATTTACATCTTTCATTAATGAATTTTTTTATTTTTATATTGTGAGTTATAATTTTGATTGTTCATTACTCAAGAATTCTTGTTTTGACAGTTCATATCATCCATAAATAATGTTTTAATTTAAAATTTAAATTTTTCTATATTTTAACAGTAACATATTGTTTCATGAAGTTAAGGTCCAAAATATTTTTTTAAAAAAAAAAATAGGTGTTTCCATGATTCAACCACCAAGTTAATTTTGTTCTATTTAATCCCTAATTCCTGGCCACATATCTTTTTGACTAATAACGTACATCACATTTTTAACCTCCTTAAATATATGTACCTTTCTCATAGTCATATCATTGTGTGATGCAAAGTTTACACGTATGGGTTATCGAATAGATTAGATCAAATTAAGAGATAAATAAACATGACTAAGATTATTGGACCTAAATTAAAAGGATAATTTAACACAAACCAAATTTACTTGTGGTCCAAAACAAGTCAAGTTAACTCTAGTCTATTAACCATATTGTAGTAAATAACCTAGAGTGATTGTGAAATATTTTTTCATTATTGATGCAGAATCCAAAATGAACCAGCGTGATTAGAAACTCACACAATTTCATTAAAGATATCAAAAGAATTGATCATATAGAAACCTTACTTACTTAACCCGCTATGAAGAATGATAGAACTTAAGGTCACTACAAATGAAAGAAATAGAATGAAAAAATACTATAAGATCGTACATTAATAAATAGATCTACTTCTTACTCAACAAAAAAAATGAAGAAAACCTCTCTTGAATAAGACTTATAATATTATTGATTTTAATTTTGAATCCTTACAATGAATACTTGATGGCCTATTTATAGGGTAAGACATGTGAATAAAAATATAATAAGCATCTTCTAATATAAAATTGCAATTACATAGGAAATTAATTAAAATGAAAGTATAAATTTCGAACTAAGATAGATATGGTCCTTCCCTTTTTTTTGGTCAATTGTTTCATTTTCTAGCCTTTCCATCATGTGCTTGAAGTAAAAGTTGATGAAACCATTATGCCATTGGATTAATTGGTTGGGCTTGTTTTTCTCTTCATTTGAATGGAGCCTCCTCTTTATGGTCTATGTCCATGCTTAAATCATCCCCTCTCCCTTTAAAAATGATTCGTCCTTAAATCAAATACTTCTTATGCAGGAGTTTCACCAATCCTGTTTTCTTTGAAAATATGTCCTGCAAAATAACACTATTAAACAAAGAAGGTTTGAGGTGAGTTAATATTTTTTTCTTGAAAGAGGACATCCTTAGCTCCTTCGTTTCCATATAGTAAGAGTATCTCTTCATGTTGCTTAATCATTCATTTTCTCCGGACTTGATGGAGTTTTTGAATTGCTACTGATCTTTGAATACCTCCTCAGGTGATAGTGGTGCAAGTGTAAAATTATGATCGTTCATGTTAAAGAAATAACGATTCATATACCCATTATAAGTTGCATATCATACTGTCAAGGTCTTTCCAATAGGATGTGACTAGCATGCATAGACACAACATTGCAAGGATGTGACTAGCATGCATGGACACAACATTGCAATGTACTTTATCAATGTATCGCTCAATAAAGAAAGAAACTAATACCTACTTAGTCATCTTCATCTCTCCACAATCAGTCAACCACTGCAACTTGTAAGTATGAGGATGGCGTGTGCATGTTAACCTAAATTTATCAACTATGGTAGTACTAGCAATGTTAGTATAATTACCCCAATCTATAATGAGACTATATACCTTCTAATTTATAAGGCAACGAGTGTAGAAGATATTCTCTCTCTAGTTACTTTCTTTTGGCTTGATTTGGAAATTCAAAACTCTTTTGATAACTAAAGTTTTCCCTTGGGCTAGATATTCAACACTTTCCTCAACATCCTCCAGTGGTGGCATGTTATCATTATCTTCACTCTCATAACCACTAGCATTATCAACTATGTCATTATCTCTCAATAGCATGATCTTTTTGTTTAGGCATTGAGAAGAGATATGTCCAATTTCAAGACACCTAGAGCATTTAATTGTATTATACTTTTAAGATGAGTTAGGTGTCTTACCTTTTATATTAGGTTGTGCGAACTTTTCTTTTTTTCTCGTATGTTCCCTTATTTCTTTTTTCTTGGGTCATTTCAAGCTGTAGGTAGGGGTGGCATATGATGTGCCTCTCCCTTTATACATGAGTTGTCTCTCGATTTTCATGACCATGTGCACCATGTCTTCCAACTCCATATAGTGTTGCAACTGTACAATGTTGGCAATCTGCTTATTAAGACCTCCCAAGAATCTTGTCATGGTTATTTTGGGATCTTTTTTTATATTGACCCTAATCATGGCCATCTTCATCTCCTTATGATAATTATCAACAAACATAGATCCCTGCATCTAGCGTTACAATTTTTGATGCATTTCTCTATAATAATAATAGAGAATGAACATTTTTTCGCATGATGGCCTTCATCTCTCTCCAAGTGAAGACTTATCATTCCCCGTTAGCCGTCTAGTGATGATTAATTGACCCCACCACACTAGGCTATAATTAGTGAATTTCACAGCTGCCAACTTGATCCTTTTTTCTTCGTTATAGTTGTGGTAGTTGAAGATTAGCTCTACTTTTCTTTCTCACTCTAGGTAGACTTCTGCATCATTCCTACCTTTGAAGGGTGATATCGTTATTTTGATGAAGCTAATATTATTATCCCTCCTATTTTCTCTTTTTCTAACCCAATTTTCCTCATCATCATTACAGGACCCAACCTTATTTTCAAGATGTTG